AAATAAAAATAAAAATCCGTCGCGACCCCGCGTCCCTCAGGGCTCCTGAGGCGGGAACGGCCGCGACCTTCCCAACATGGCGCCGGCCCCGCGCCCCCCGCGCGCCCTCCCCAACATGGCGGATCCCGCCCGACCTCCCGCCCATGGCGGCCGCCGCCGCCGCCCTCGCCCTCCCCAAGATGGCGGCGGCGCGGCGCTATGACGCCATACGTCCCGCTCCCCCCCTCTCGCTGTCCCCGGCCTCCTCCGCCGCCGCCGCCGCCGCCGGTCCCCGCCTCCCGCGCTCGCCACCGCGGCGGCCGAGGGCGACTCGCGCCGCCGCCCCGCTCGCCCCGCCGCTCGCCCGCCCTCCGCCCGCCGCGGCCCCGCGGCGCGGGCCCGCCGCAGCGCAGCCGCTCTGAGGTGAGCGTCCTACCGCGCAATCTCCTCCAGCCCCGGCGCAGCCGCACCAACGCGGGGCCCCCGCCGCCCGCACCCGCTCCCCCGGCGGCCGCGACCGCCCGGCCGAGCCGGGCCCGCGGGGCCGCCCCGGGGCCGGGGCAGCGCTGGGGGCACCGGGACGGGCGGCGGGGGCGGCGGCGAGGGGGGCTCGGGCCGGGGGGCGGCGGCGGCTGCGGGGCGGCCTCGGAGCTCCGGGCCCGGCTCAGCCCGGCCCGGCCGGGCGGGGAACTTGGGCCGCGGCCGCAGACATTGGCGGGGCTTCGGCTTCGCCCTTTTTCCTGGTACTCTCGGAGCCCCTTCTCCCCTGCTTGGAGCCCTCACCACCCTTTTTATTTCCCCTATTATCCTTTCTTTTTTTTTTTACCTTCCTTCACACTCCCTCTTTTTTTCTTCACCCCCACGTTTTTACCTTCACCCACTTTATTTTACTCTTCACACCCCCTCATGTTTTTCCCTTTACCTCCTCATTTTTTCCCCTCACCTCCCCTTTTTTTGCCTTCACCTCCAGGTTTTGGTTTCACCCCCATTTTTTTACTCTTCATTCCCTCATTTTGTTCCCTTCACCCCTCGTTTTTTTTTTCCCTTCACACCTCATTTTTTTTCTCTTCACCCCTCATTTTTTTTCCCTTCACCCCTCATTTTTTTTTCCTTTCACCCCTCGTTTTTTTCCCTTCACCCCCATTTTTTCCCTTCATCTCCCCTTCCCCCTAGTAATAAATTACATTTTAAAAGGCCTCAGAGATAAATGAGTCCAACCTTGCTGAAGTTCTCTTTGTGCCCCCTTTTTCCCCCCCTTTCACACTCCGTCTTTTTTCTTCACCCCCACGTTTTTATGTTCACCCTCACTTTTTTCCTTTTACCCCCATTTTTTTCCTCTTCACACCCCCTTATATTTTTCCCTTTACCCCCTCATTTTTTCCCCTCACCTCCCCTTTTTTTGCCTTCACTCGCTTTTTTGCTTTCACCCCCATTTTTTTTACTCTTCACCCCTCATTTTTTCCTTTCACCCCTCATTTTTTTTCCCTTCACTCTCATTTTTTCCCTTCACCCTCATTTTTTCCCTCCATCTCCCCCTCCCCAGTAATCAATTAGACTTTAAAAGGCCTCAGAGATAAATGAGTCCAACCTTCCTGAAGTTCTCTTCATGCCCCTTTTTCCATTTATTTTTTCCCCCAGAATTACAGAACCAATTAATTTGTTAAAGACCTCTGGGCTCATTGATGAAGTTCCCCTTCATTCTCCCTTTTCCCCCTTTATTTTTCCTGTCATCTTTTTTTTTCCTTCCTTGTCCCCTTTATTTTCTTTGCATTTTGTACATATATAATTTCCCTCTCTCTGTGCAGGAGGTTGGGAGTGAGTTGAAATGTATTAATCACTCACCTCCCCCCAATTTAATACACCCAAAAAAAGGGGTGTAAATGGCTTATAAAAAGGGGATGTAACTGGGTATGTATTAAAATACCCCAAAAAGGGCTCTAAAATCAGTGGCTGTGACTGAGGTGCTCAGGACCTTTTTGGTGTAAATAATAATTAAGGGACAGAAATAATTCAGCTCAAGGCTCTTCCTGCATTTGAGGTTACCAAGTCTAAGCTTTCTTGCAGCTACAGATGAATTTTACTGCGTGGGGAAATGTTTTCTCTGTTCGAGTTTGGGAACTCTGCTTTGTATTTTTTATTTTTTTTTTTCACTTTCACTTAACTGTTCTTTCCAGAATTTGAGATTTTTAATCCCTTAGGCAGGGCCTGGCTGTTGTGGTTTTGTTTTTAAGCCTTGCTGGTCTCTGAGCACGTTTTTAGACTCTCTTCCCACATCCTGAGAGGATTCTCAGTGTGAACTCGTGGTCATCCTCACTTTAGCTTTTCTCCTCCTTCATCCACGTCACTGTTGCTCCTTCCCAAATCCTCTCACAGTGAACTTTCAATTCCCAAATACTGAGGAAATAGGTGAGAGAATTGTTCGTGTTTTTAATCCAAATTTTCGTGCTGCTGGTAAAACTGGGAGCAATGGTTTTGGTTTTGGTTTTTGTTTTTTTTTTTTCCTTGTCAGGGGTGAAATAGGAAGTGCATGATGATGATGATGATGATGATGGTGGCTGTGGAAAGCTGGGAATTGTAGCAGCTGATTTTTCAGGGTTTTAATCCTGTCCATCCATCCCTGGAAATGTCCAAGGCCAGGTTGGAGCACCCTGGGGTTGTGGAAGGTGTCCCTGCCCATGGCTGGAATGGGATGGGATTTATGGGATTTATTTCCATTCCCAAACCATTCCATAATTCCACAGGGTGTTACAGTGCAGTGTTCATCTAAACCCTCCCCCCTTCCTCTGTAATTTCTTGGTGTGTTTGGTGTTTTGCAGGGCGCCTCGGTTGGTTTTTAGGGAGTTTTATTGTTTTTCATGAGCCTCACATCGTTCTTGTGAGGCTTTTTGGTGACCCCTTGTGCACAGGCCATAAACACAGCAGAGCTGGGAGCCCTCAGCCTCATCCCCTGCAGCTTTTGGAATTTTTTAGGATTTAGGAAATGTGACCTGGCCAGGACAACAAACAGCTCATTGCAGAAGTGAAATGGCACCATCCTGGAAAACCCAGGGGAGAGCCCTTGGTGTGGATTGGAGCTTGCACCTCTGTGTGGCTCCATCGGGAAAATTTGGGGGATTCAGCTGTGGAGACTGCCCAGGGAAGTGTGGTGGAATGGTGGTGGGATCCCCATGCCTAGAATTGTTGATCCCCAATCCCTGGAATTGTTCTGGGATCCCCATCCCTGGAATTGTTCTGGGATCCCCATCCCTGGAATTGTTCTGGGATCCCCCATCCCTGGAATTCTTGATCCCCATCCCTGGAGTTGTTTTGGGATCCCCATCCTGGAGTTGTTGTGGCATCCCCATCCCTGGAATTCTTGATCCCCATCCCTGGAATTTTTCTGGGGTCCCCCATCCCTGGAATTGTTGCCAGTCCTGTGGGTTTTGGCCACCCAGGGCCGTGTTTTGGCCACCCGGGGCCGTGTTTTGGGGGCCACCCGGGGCCGTGTTTTGGCCACCCAGGGCCGTGTTTTGGGGGCCACCCAGGGCCGTGTTTTGGCCACCCGGGGCCGTGTTTTGGCCACCCGGGGCCGTGTTTTGGCCACCCGGGGCCGTGTTTTGGGGGCCACCCAGGGCCGTGTTTTGGGGGCCACCCGGGGCCGTGTTTTGGGGGCCACCCGGGGCCGTGTTTTGGGGGCCACCCGGGGCCGTGTTTTGGCCACCCGGGGCCGTGTTTTGGCCACCCGGGGCCGTGTTTTGGCCACCCGGGGCCGTGTTTTGGGCCGAGCAGGGCAGTGCTGGGTTGTTGTGTGACCTCCACGCTCTCTCAGCGTTTTCCCAACTTTCCCAATTCCATCATTCCATGAGCCAAGGCCACTCTGGCCACAGGGGGGGGATTTTCCTGCCAGGGAATTTTCTGGAATTCTCTGGGCTCTGATGTCCCAGGGCTGCCTGGGACTGAGGAATTCCTCACGTGTTGGGATTTCATCACTTTCCTGTCTCTCAGGAGCCTTTTTTCCTCCTTAAACCAAGAAATTTAATTCCTGCCAAGCTCAGGCCTGGAATATTTCAGCGTTGTAGGGGAAACCAGGGAACTCCAGCAGAATGGAGGAGCCCAAACTGGGAGCACTGGGAGCACTGGGATCATTCTTGGTGTCCATCTCCCTTCTGGGCTGCTTGTGTCCAACTTCTGCCATGGGCATGCACAAACTCTGGGAATATTTCCATTGCTTTTCCAAAGGAGGGAGGTTTCCATGCAGTTTCTCTCTCTTGGAGGGTTTGGGAATTATTAATTTTTAATGAATTACCCTTCTCTGATCGGGGTAAATGTCTTCCAGCAGGGCACAGTGAACTCTGCTGTGCTCCTGAATCCTTTTACCAAGAGACTTTAATCCAGAATTTCTACATGAGAACGTTTTGTGCTGTCAGTAGGAGTGGTGGGGTTGTGTTGATGATTTTTCAGTGCAGGGAGTTCTGTGAAATTCAGCCTTGGACTTTTATCAGGCTGTTTCTGGAGTTGATCTGTGGGAAAAAAAAAAACAAAACCACAAAACAAAGCCACAGTTCAGATATTTTGTGTTACCCATTTCCCAGTGCCCAAGATATTTAATAAAACAATTTTAAACCACTTCTTTAGGGTTCTAAAATAACTTCTGCTGCACGGTGGGGATTTTATTTGTACTCTTGAGTGCCCCTAGGGGGAAAAACCTTTTCCCAAAATCTGTCCTAAACCCTGTGACACAGCTCCAGCCATTCCCTTGGATGAAGTGGCATCCTCTCCTTTTCCTTGTGTGTGTTTAAAGGGAATTCATGGTTTTGGTCAGGTCATTTTAATGCTTCCACACAAATCATTAAACCCCTGATCCATTTATCACTTACTTTAGTGATTAAATTTGTGTCTCTGCTCTCATGAATGTCTTCATCAGCTCATTTTTGCCTGGGAATCCAAACCAGGTTAAACAAATCCTGGCAAACCCCTTCTACTTTCCAAACATTGCAAACTGTAAAACTCAGAATTTCATGGGTGGCTTTCATCTCTTGAAACTGAAACTTCCACTTCCCAACCTAAAGGCTGCAGTGAGAAAAGTTTTAAAGTCCAGGGCTGGGGGAACCTCTCAGGTGTCCAGGCTAAACCTGGACCCCCCAGACCCTTCCAGCTTTGGGGAAGGAAATTCAGGTTTGTTCTGTACCCACTGCACTGGGGTTCAATATTTGTGGATTCCTCAGTTCTGCTTTTTTTTTTTTTTTTTATTTTCCCCCCAAAAACCTGGTGGTGCTGATCCAGTTGCCAGGTGGACAATCCCACTGGGAAGGTCGGTTGGGGTTTGTGACTTTCTGGGAAAGCTCAGAGCTGGGAATATCATTAAAAAAAAAAAATTAAAAATCGATTTCTTTGGGAATATCCCAGCTCCAGGCAGGAGCAGTCCCTGTGTTCCACCAGGAGTGCCAGAGGGTGCCCAGCTAACCCAGGCTGTGCTGCTTTGATTTGGAGCTAGGTTTTTTGGGTTTTTTGGGTTTTTATTTTTGGGAAAGGCTCTGAGGCTTCTCTGGGTTTGTTATGGATGAGTTGCTTGCCAGACTCCGAGAAGGAATCCAGGAATTCCCAGAGGGAATCCCTGCCAGTGCCAGGTGGAGCCCAGGGATCTGCAGAATGTGTTTGGTGCAGCTCAGGGCTCTGATCCACGCTGACATTTTCATGTCAGTGAAATCCCACCTCGTTTTTATCCCTCCTGGAAAAAAAAGAAAAAAAAAATAAAAATAAGTAG